AAACGCTGCATCAAACTCTGGAGACACGCCCTTGCCACCTCTACCAATCATCCCTTGGTCGTAGCCTCCGGCAGCAACAAGAGGACCTTGCTCTACACCGCGGCCACATAGCTCGCCACATACCGCCACACCTTTTTCTCGTGCCTTGCATACTCGAGGTTCGTCAATCTCGCCTTTTCCACCCTGTAGTTCATATTATTAGTGAGGAATAGGTAGGAGAGCGAGACTTTTTTTTTTTGTAGAACTTAGCCTTGGCATTGAACATCCATACCAGGACAAGGATTAACCACACTAATCATGATCACTCCAAGCTTTACCAGTGCAAATAGGGCTTGTAATTCTCTCCGATGATCCTTTGATTCTCACGATAATTTCCGAGCATCGGAATAGAATGATCGAGATGCTTGAGCCCACGGGCAACTCGAGCAAGACCTGAACATGAAGAGGATAATGAGGATAATCCTGCTGCATATGTAACTGGCCATTCGGGAGGATAAAGAGCTCGATGCTCTCATCAAGGAACCATTGCGGGAGATGGCGTCATCTTCAGATCCGTGGGTCCTTAATCAACAAAACCGTCGAAAAGAAAAAGGAAAGTGAGAAAAAAAGAAACAAATAAAAAAATCCTAAATGGGCCCCACTTTTGACTCTTAGCGAGGATAGTATGAATGTAAAGGGGAGTGCAAGAGCCAAGAGAGGGGTGGAAAAAGCGTGACCCTTTTATTTTATTTTTGAATTTTAGTTATTTATTTTTATTTCCTTTTTTTTTTCTTCCTCTAACTGGTCGTTGGGCCTCAACGATGGCCAACAATCAGCCAGAGGCGAGGTCAGCCGTGCTGGCCTCAGGCAAGGCTTGCCCTCTCTGTCACTAGGTGAGGTTGGCCTCGCCGTGGCTGGAAGAGGCTCGAACTTGCCCAGCCACTGGCTTGGCAATGACGAGGCTCGATCTCACCTCGCCCACCCCCGGTGAGGCTAGCTCGGTGATGGCAAGCCTTACCAAGGGCAGGCGAAACTCGCCCTCGCCGGTGGCTAGGAGGGTGAGTTTCACCAGAAGCCGGCAAGGTCAACCTTGGAGGCTGGCTAGAGGAAGGAGGTAAGAAAAAAAAGAGAAAGAAAAGACAACAAAGAAAAAATAAAATAAAAAATATTATTAAAAATTGTCTACATTAGTGCCAGTTATCCACGCGGCTGGCTAGCATCTATGTCGACAATTTCCAACTAAAATTGGTCGATGGACTTAACTGGGAAAACGTAAAAAGGTTTTATGACTCAATTGATACAATTAAAAAGTTTAGAACTTAATTGATAAAAGTGTAATAAATTTATGATTGTTTGGACGGTTTTCCCTTTTTGGAAGGTCATGAGCTCGCATGACGTGTGTGAATTGACCGCCTTACGAGCTAACACAACTTGTTTCATTTTCTTAATGAGAATGATGCGGTTGGTACACTGATTAATGAATAGATTTACATGCATAAATCACATGCCCGAGTTCTTTCGTTTCCATGTAAGAATAAGTCCTTATTTGGCCCACCATTCTAGCTCTAGCTCCTTGGGATTCGTGGGGCTTTCATATAAATGCAAAACAAGAAAGCAGACTATTCTACTTAAGTCCGTTGAAATGTTTCATGCCCGTTGACCATAATATTCATATGATTTTCATATATATATATATAATCTGTTTCTACCCATTAATTTAAGTTTTTGAATTAGACTTTGCAGCACCCGTTCAATCAAATTTCACGTGCCAAAGAGGGCGTGGAAACACCGACTCGGGAGGCTCGTATACCCTTCGTATACACAATCGTAATTTGCTAAAAAAGATGAAGTTGAAAGATACAGACTACCGGAGGTTTCAATGATTGGTTTGAGGTTGGGAAAATGATTCACTCGAGCCAAAAACAGGCAGAAAAAATTTCGGGCGGGGGAGGGAGGGAAAAGACCAAAAGGCAGAAAACCCGATGCTGACTAGTTGCCGACAACTTCATATGTGGGAATTTCCTGAGAAGATTTACCGGGGGACACGTGGCGGGGCGTCAAACAAGCGCGATCAAAGTCGGGGGAAGGCATCAAGTCATAATGCATGGGGACCTACTGACCTCCACACCACGCCCCACAACTTTGGGGGTTGCGTTTTGCATTAACTTTTGTTTTTATCATCACCCTCCCCAAATCCTAGTTCTCTCGCAAAATAACCCCTAATTTTACTCAGAATTAATACCACAAAGAACCTCCAAACTAATATATCCGTAAAATAAGTTTACTCAAAACTAATTTTTTGACTGGCAAAAACCTTTCAAATTGATATACCTGTGACAAATTTATCCTCCGTTAGTTTTCGTTAAATTTTGCCATCGAATTTCTGATCCGGATGACACGTGACAGTTGAAGGATGTACCAGTTTTGGGTTTAATCCTCCGTTCATCAGAGGTGTACCTGTTTGTGATTTTTCGCGATATTGATCCAATTTAACGGAGGGTAAAATTGTCATAAATGTAGCTATTTGGGGTTTTTTATGGTAAAAAAATTAGTTTATGATAAATTTGTCATGGGTGTACCAGTTCGGGATTTTTTATGGTCAAAAAATTAGTTTGAGGTAAATTTGTCATAAATGTACCGGTATGGGGTTTTTCGTGGTATTAACCCTTACACTAAAAGTGACATGAATTCCATTTATATAGGACATCAATTCATGCAGTGCCACCAAACCACATCACAGTCTCGAAGATCGCACAGAATTTTCGAATGCCCGATTGGATCGAGTTGGGCCGAACTAAAGATATCTAGTAGAATCGGTCGATTTGATTTTCCCAACGCTGCAATTTCGTAAGGGGAGGATCCATGTTCCCGATTATTTAGTAATTTCTCTAGCTCTCGTGTGGCGGTAAGCGATGGTATCGTAATACCCTACTCGTACAATTATGACAAGCTCCTTTTTGTTTTTTTTTCCAAACACACCACAAGCAAAGTTAAATCACACAGTATCGTGCTCAATGTCGATGTGTTATTAGTAGCATTAGGCAAATGAATCGCGTCTCGTGGACTATGTCAAAGAGAACATGCGATGGATGTGATAAAAAAATCGATTGGAGCAACACGATCTTTACACCCTTTTGATCGGCTCTATCAGTTATATTATTAATAACATCTCATTTACATGAATCGGTCTTTTTAAAAGATCCAGGCTAAGTAGCCATCAAACGCGCGTTACCGATAAATCGGCGAGGTTAACTTTACTGTCTCATCCCCTCGTAGTGATAATTTATGTTGATTAATTTAATTAACATGCTTTCATGGACAGAGAGAGAGATTGTAGCATGGTGGACGGGCCTGGTGTCCCTTCTCTTATTAAAAATGCAAGCGTGCTTTAAGCTCAAAAACTTATTAATGGTCCACTTTGATTGTAACGACCTTGTAAGTTAAGGCTTCCCAAGCCTTTATAAGTTGCCCAGGACTCCCCTCCTCAAGCGATGTGGGACAGGAGAGACGTGCCCCCTTTGCCATCCTAGAAGCCTGCCATGCCCTCATCGGAGCTCTCATCGGATCGGGTTGTCACACTCTCCCCCACTTCGAGCACAGCGTCCTCGCTGTGGCCCCATATGCGGTTGGGAGTATACCACCTTGTAACGACCTGAGTCCCATTCGCAAGATATTGTCCGCTTTGGACACCAAGTCCTCATAATTTTGTTCCTCCGAAGGCAGCCCATACTACCCCCAGAAAAGACCTCTTGCAAGTTAAGGTTTCCCAAGCCTTTACAAGTTGCCAAGGACTTCCCCTCTTAAGCGATGTGGGACAGAAGAGACGTGCCCCCTTCGTCATCCTAGAAGCCTGCCAGGAGCCGCTCCTTGTCCAGGTCCTCTGATCCCGACGACCACTCCCCGCCCTTATTGGACCGGGTTGTCACATTGATTACTTTGGAAGCCTACTTTCATAAAAAAACAAAATTTAAAAGATTAAAGTGGAATTTTGCGGGGAAAATGAGAATGTTTCGTTTGCATTAAGCAACTGTAGGCTTTGGGGGACCACTAACCAACCAGCCTACTCATTCCTAGTCCTGCCTACTCATTCTTAGTCCTGAATTAATGGGTGGAAAGGTTAACCAAAGACATTCTTTCCATTGGGCCAACTGTGGAACTCACTCCAAAGCGACTGACGGTTTCATAAACTGTCGTGGATTAGTTCGTTTTGGGGCACAACTTTACCTAAAAGTGAATCGAATTGCTGACATTGTATTGTCGAGATCGATTGCCTTGTACACATACTTTCTTGTCGGCATCGGTACTCTACTAATAGCATGCTCAGTTTGTGAAAACACTATAAAAAATGAAGGGAACGAAACCGAATTAGGATAGAGGAAGACCCTGATTTCGTATTATCTAATTTAGCAAAGCAACAAAGTAATCATTTTACGTCGATAAGCCGGAGAGGAATTGGCGATTCCCATGATAAAGTAGATCGTTAGTGTATGAACCTGAATTCGAGGCATTCGCAACAATGGCTCTACTGATCCGAAGACATCCAAGTGCCTCTTTTTTAAAATCGTCACGGTATGGCTTGCACGTCTTTACGTGCGACCAAACCAGTGAGGAAAAAGAAGTGTGTAGTCACAAAAAGGGTTAAAATGTCTGATCTCTCCACACGACATTATGGGGTGTACTGAATACGTGTAAGTTCAGTGGACTCTTGTATTCGGATTATGCCGAGTCCCATTAGGGTTTCATTGAAATCGAAAACTATGATGTATTGGGCTTACATGCACGCGCGCTCGGAGCGTTGAGAATTGGGGGAGTTGAAGTGAGGAACACCAAAAGGAAGACATGCCATAAAATGTGAAACACAATGCCACAGCCACATGCTGTGTCACAAGTCACAACCCATCCATCATCCTCTGCACTCCTTTTTTTTTTCTTTTTTTTTTTGGCCTTTTCTCTTTCTGCCCTTCGCCTTTTTCTCTGTTGGCCTCTTTAAGAGTTTTGAGAGGGGGTACGAAGGGTGGGGCTTGTCCCCTTCTCCTCCTTTTCTCATCAGTCACCAGGCGAAGCCACATTTCAAAACACCAAACCCTACATATGGAATGCAAGATAATAATAATAAAAAAGAACTGAAATGGACTAGGAGAGCCAAATCAAGCCTGCCCCTTTTTGGCTTGTTCAACTTCTCCTTCAATGATTTTTCTCCACATCACTCAGACAACTCGCTCACATTATCCCCTTTCTCTTTCTGCACCACACGAACAACCCTTCAAGTGGAGGGCTTTGATGGCTTTCTGCTAGCAGCAACAGGTGGTGACTCTTCTTTAAAAGCTCCCTATCTTCCTATTCTCTCTCTTTTTTTTTATCTTTTTGTTGGGTTTACTTTCTTTTCAGTTGATTCTTTTATTTTTGCTGGTCTTTGTGGAATCTATGCCAGGAATGGATGGTTAGAGAGAAGGGCTCTCTGTCTCTTTCTTTTCTAATCCTGGACTGGACTTCTTGTGCGTGTAACTAGTCCACTTTTTTCACCCCTCGCTCTTGTGGTTTCTAGACTTTTTAGTCACGGTTGTTTTACTAATTTTATCTTCTTTCTTCTTCCGGTGGAGGGTTTGTTTCTTTTTGTTTTTTTGTTTTTAAATGTGTTTGTTGATCTCTTCGGAGTACGTTCTCCTCTGATCTTATTGTACTGTACTCGTAGACTTGTAGTTATTGCCAACGGTTCTTGTGATGTCCCTTTTCTTTTACCCTTTCCATGACTTTAGATATCACAAAAGAGCTACTGGAGGTAATGATTACTCCGTCTTGAGCTGGCCATTTTGCAACTCTTTCTGTAATTTCTAATTTCTAACTTATGAAAGATTTCTCTTTGCCCGAGCAGCCGACTGGAAATTTTTTCCGGTTTATGTTCTTCAGCAATTTAGAAAGACAAAAATCTCAAGTGCTTGATTTGGCTAGACGATACTGTTTTGTTCAGTTTTTGCTCCCTGTTTGATGCAGTTGAGGAAAAAAAAAGTCTATCTTGTGAAGTTAAAAGGAGTAGCTTGACCGTCCTGGGGACGAAAGAACTCTGAGTCGCTTTGCCAACAATCTCATTGATTTGAAGTAGTGAAAGGCTTATTAATGGATTGGAATCTGAAAGCTCCTTGGGATTTGACTGAATTTGCCCAAGAAACCCTGCCAAGCGACCATGGGGCTGATATGCCAAATAGCTATGGGATTCCTAGTGCAAAAGGAGAATTTTCGGTTGATTTGAAGCTGGGTCAAATGAGTAACACCGTGCACGAACCGGTAAATATGTGGAAGGACTCTGCTGTCTCAAAGATGGCGTCATCTCCATCAGGGTCATCGAAGAGGGCTCGATCAGCAAGCAATGGGGGTCAGGCAGTACATTGCCTTGTTGATGGTTGCAATGCGGACCTTAGTAACTGTAGAGAGTACCATAGGCGCCACAAGGTCTGTGAAGTTCACTCCAAGACTCCTGAGGTGACGATTAATGGTAAAAAGCAAAGGTTTTGTCAGCAATGCAGCAGGTACTGACCATATCTTTTGATTGTTTCAAATCGATACCAATCTTTCAACGTATTCTTCAAATTCATTGTTCTGCTGCGTCATTGTTAATAATACTTGCAGTCTGAAGTGGATTGTGTAAATTGGAACTGCTCCTAACAACAGGAACTGCCAAGTTAACAATGGCTAATATTATGTTTTAAATAATATCTGGTCTTGTAGGTTCCATTCACTGGAGGAATTTGATGAGGGCAAAAGGAGTTGCAGGAAGCGCCTCGATGGACATAACAGAAGGCGAAGAAAACCTCAGCCGGAACCCCTAAGTCGGTCAGCAGACATTTTATCCAATTTTCAGGGTGAGGATCCTCTTGCAGTAATTTTTCTTAGCTCCAATGTACCATGTGTAATACCAGTACATGGCAGGCTCTAGGGCAATTTCATGAATATTCTGTTCTGATTAGAGCTGGCATAAGATCCATACATGCAGAAATTGCATCTGCAAGGGGATTTATTTTCTGGAATGGAATGACCATCTCTTTCTACTTTACTGTTCACCTGTATGTTTCCTCCTGTTAGTCCTTCCCACGGGAGATTTTCCATCAGAAGAACTTGGGAATGCTTTGTTTTATGTTAAGAACAGTGGTTCTGAGGGAGCTCAACTAGCGTAGGAATGAGCTTAGTTCTTAGAACCAGTGACTAGTTGATAATTCCTGATGTGTTCTGTCATCTGTTATATTATGGCTGGTTGAGCCCTCATACATTCCAACAGAAATAACTTGATGTTAGATCTTCAATTCTTGGCAATTTTAGCTTTATGGTCCGGCTTCTCTTTTACAAATTCCAAGTGTGTATGATAGCTTACCATGAGCAGACAAATTCCAAGTCCAGGAGAAGTCTATAAATGACTCCTCAGACTAGCATGAATGTTTCTGTTGGTTATTATGTTTCTTTGACTCTTCATTCAATCTTTTTCAGGTACCCAATCAGTGCCACTCTCTAACTCACAGGTATATCCCACTACTGCTGTTGGCAACCCAACATGGACCGGAGTTGTCAATCCCGCAGCAGAAGCTGCTCTATATGGCCACCACCAACACCTTTTCGGGTCGCCCTCTAGCATATATGGGGGAGGCAAACAAATTAAGTTCTTGCAAGGGAATAATCCCGTGTTGAGCAGCCAAGTGTCTGCCGAACCTTCTGTATGTCAGCCACTCCCTAGGACGATTGTTTCGTCTGATAGTGGTGGGCTTGGCCGCAATTTGTTCTATGACCGGCTAGTCAGCGAATCGGACTGTGCTCTCTCTCTTCTGTCATCACCACAGATGCAGACATCAGGTACTAATTTCAGCAATATGGCGCACCAAAACTCCTACCGTGATAATCACAGCTTAGAGCCCTTGGACTCTGTTCGCGTTTCCAATGGCAGCGGAAGAAATACCAATTCCCAGGGAATGTTCCACTTAGGATCTGAAGGACGACAAAGAAATGAAGCCTCTCAAGTAATTCCCTTTCACTGGGACTAGTAAGCTATAAGCCCACTCCCCAATTTCCTGATGCATAATTACTGCATATTCATTCTCATGTAGAGATTATCGTGGTATTCTTTCTCGTATGTACACTGTCTGTTTCGGTGAACTCTTCTAATTGAAGGTATTAACTACATTGCCCTCCTGCTTTGGTGTGGTCATCGCTCCTTTTCTCCAACGAGGACGATACTCATCAAACTTGGGCAAAGTCGAAAGGACTCCATTTGGAGTCTTGTTTGTTTACCCAGTTAGCTTCATAACTCAAATGCTTTATAACTTGGATATGATTTAACTAATACCAAAGAAAGATAAGTACGACATTATTGGTTTGTCATCCTAAGCAGTGACACATTAGTTAAAATGAGAGGAAACAACTAACTCTAAATGTTGTTATACCTCTATATTGTGTTAACACAATGATTCCTGTTATGTTTAGTCGGTCCGGTGCATTCAGGTTAGCCTTTTCACCACAATCCGTATGTGTTCATTATACTCGTTTTCCTATAGAAACTTCGAAGTATACAATCTTCATGATCACATGATTTTTGTCTTCATAATTGACCTCCCTTGGTCCTATCGCTTGTGGTTTTGGCTTTTCTGGGCAGAGAGAAAAGATGGCTTCACACTGCTAACTCTTATAGTGTCAGAATCTGCTATGTGAAGGAAGATAGAAAGAATCACTCATATAGTTGCTTCCCCGAATTTATTTGTACTATCTCGGAGCTCTGTGAGCTGAAATCTACCTTCCTCCGATAATGTTTTTACCCATGCACGACATACATATGACGTGCGTAGATTAAGCATGGTGCTAAGGGATTTAGCAGTATTCCCCTTCGATGAATCGTTGATTGCCGACCCACCTAAAATCAATGTTGCCAATCTCACAATCTGCAACATCTAGGACTACATGGCCACGGTTTCATAAAACCAGATAGCTTCATGATTGATCAAATTGTTCTATTGTGATTTACACGACGGTTCTGCATTATGACAACCGCAGTGGAAACAAACTCAATAACGAGAACCAGAGGAAGCACTAGAAATCATCCTTAACCTTAAGGAAATGAAAGACGAAAAGAAAACGAGCGTGCTTGACCATGGTACGCATGACAAGCGAGACAGAGGGATGATTTCAGAAAAGAAGCAAAACAAGTGAAGATATTGGCACGGCTCAATCAGATTAAAGGACCCATTTCAAGACTTGGGAGATTTGATATGATTGAGCCATTCCAACATCGTCACAAACTCGACTTACCAGCACCGTTGGGATCGATCGATGCACCGGACACCACGGTTCGCCACTAGTCTCTTTGACAATCTCCGACGGCCATGGTTGTGTGATGAACCTGAGTTGCATAGAAATAATATGTCTACAGCAGAAAGCGAAGACAATTTATATAAGCAAAGAGGGAGACTCCTCCGGCCTTTACGAACTGTGAATGGTTGGGACGTCAAAATCGTTGCTTTGATTCATTGGGAAGACCTGAGCAAAGAAAAGGAGGATTAAAATAATTTCCATAATTAGGTCTTGTGGAACTCGTCAGTGGTCGATAACGTGGGGCAACAAGCTCACACAAAACGGTTCCTTCACCAAATCTTCACTATCATTCTCGCACCCACAAATTATTCGACGAATTAATCCTTCCTAACCACTCTAACATTTCAATCTTTTTCCCAACACATTTCGTGCGCGCCGGGAAAAAGAAACAATCAGTTCACCGTAGATGTAAGCGGTAATCGAATCGTGCAACGCTACCCGCATGGACATTCCATCTACACCGACGTGTGGACAATCGCTTCGGGAGCTCAAGTCTTATTCGGAGTTCATCGAGATCAATCTACTGCTTAAAAGGGTGATCCAAATCAACCGCTACTTTTGAAATGTTGGTCGTGATCTAGCTTTGGGGCCTCTTTTTTCTGATGAGGACCTTGCTATAATTAATGCAACGCATACACGCCCGTTAATCACTAAAGGTTGGATCGCATTTCAAGAGCCTGCCAAGGAGAGTTGTTGGAAAGCGAACGAAATCGATCACGTCAAGAAAAAGGAATTGAAAATTTGCAAGCAAGTAACCCCCATCAAACAAAATCTGCCGGTACGAGTGTTTACGGTTCGTGAACTTTCAGTTGTCTGAAGACTTTCCACAAGAAGAGGGGGATAATTGTCAATTTACGCTCTTGGCAGTCGCTTTCGTCCTCTTCAGCAGAGAAAAAAAGGGAGTCAGCTCAGAGGACTCTGTCCGACGAAAAGTGAAATAGGATGATGGAGATTTGCTCCCAAATTGGCGTGAGAAAAAGCTAACACCTGGCCTCGGGTTTTGCCCCCTGCCCCCAAAAGATCAGCAAAGCTCTAGACATCTTTCCCTCGATGGATCTTCTTCTTTAGTTCCCTTCCTCCCAATCAATATGATTGCTCTCTCTCTCTCTCTCTCTCTCTCTCTCTCTCTCTCTCTATGGATCTTCTTCTTTAGTTCCCTTCCTCCCAATCAATATGATTGCTCTCTCTCTCTCTCTCTCTCTCTGCCATGGCCACTCACAAGTCAAGGCTCGAGTCACCACGAGTTTGTGGGAAGTAGTAGACATCGTGTATTCGTAGTGGAATCCAAATGGCTTTCACTTACCAAAAAAAAAGACAGCTCAATTGGGTACAACCACCAAGGAGCACGTACAGACCAAGTACTTGTGTATCCTTCGAGAAGGCCCTCCACCAAATGCCAAAACATCCAATCTAATTAATGGGGTTAGCTGAGACTTGATTGGGTTGCCGGAATCAAGTGCAATAATAGAGTTGGCTTTAGTATTAGGAATCTTCACCAACCAACCTTCCATAATCTTGAAAAAGTCAGTCCTGAGTTGTGACCTTCGGGAGAAGTTACGGATGATAATTTTTAACAGAGAGGCTTGTGAGGTCGAAGTCTGCTTTGCAAGGTGCAGAAGAAAGAACCATCCAATACTACTACATTTCAACTGGAAAAAGGCGAAAATCTTGGTCTACATACTGGGAAGCAAAATGATGAACCCATACAAACTTTAAGTCGCGAAAACACATGCAGTCTCTCATCAAGTGACCGAGTTTGCAAACAATCTTCTGAAGCAGTTACAAGCGAATGAAATTGGCATGGAGCTCGAAAGGCAAGCTTTACATGTCTCGGAGCAGCTTATTTCCTTGTATGGGATGCCCAACATAAAACTCGAGTCAAAGTTAACAGTAGATTTTACATGGAAATCCCCAAGGATTTCTTGAACTTCTCAACCTCCAAATACACAGTCGAATAAGGGAGAAACTCCGAGAAGTAGCTGTTACTCAGATCGTTTATCGCAACGGCAAGTTTAGGGATTTCTAACGTCTCTTCATGAGTGAGAGTCCTGACAAACCTTGCAGGATTTCCAGCCCAAAGTTCACCAGTTGGAATTCTCCTTCCTGGGGGAACCACCGACCCAGCTTCAAGTATCGAGTGGGTCTCTACCAAGGAGCCTTCCATTAGAATGGAGTGTTGACCAATAATGCACTCAGGCTCAATTGTGCATGACCGCAAGAGGCTGTATGCACCAACGGTCACGAACCTCTCAATAGTTGTCTCTGCTGGCAAACCTGGCAGAAATGAGAGAAGTTGCTGGTCACATAAATTGACAGCGCAAAACACAAACGAGGAGAATTTTGCAGTCCCTTCAGAATTGTCACTAAATCTTAATATAGTAGACAACTGCTAGTAGATGCACAGTAGAGCCAAAACTACATTTTGTTGACGTACCATGACAAAAACCTTATCGAAGAGATTCTCATCCTTCGCTGAAACATCATATCTTACTTACCTTTCATCTATTATTCGTTCTATGAACAGAAACATTAGAAACTGAGCTCATCTCAGCAACAAGCTCTAACTTAAAAGCTTGACTAATAAGAAGGTGTAAAGCATGCATACAACAGTACTTGAGGAAGGATAGAAATGGGAATGGAAAAAGGATGGCATGTCAATCAAGAATCAAGACTCATAAAGATACTGCTCAGTATAAATATGTTCGGAACTTATCAGTTCACACACCTTAGAATCTACTGCAAGGCAAACAAGAAATTTGATTAGATTAACAACTCGAACAAATAGAAAAAAACATAACTCTTCACTATGGAGACTCTTCTGTTGGGGAAGAACTAACACCGAAGTGTTTGAAAACCACAAGACTGCTTAATTTATTCGAGAATTTTGACTTTATAATATATCTTTCTTAAAAAAGATATATGAACTGTTAGTGAATGGAAAGACACACACACAGAAGCAGGAAAAAAAATTAAAACAGGAATCAGAAATGTAATGGCGTTTGGAGGCGGGTTTGTGAAGAGAAGAACAATGAGAGGAGAAGGTGAAGCTTTCGGAGGATCCTGAAAAGGCTTCAATTTCCAGCAACATCATTCATTGAGCACAAAACCTGTACTATGATGCCATCGATTTTTTTATGTGGACGGCCTGGAGTTGGAGGCACCCTGTAGAAAACCCACAGGTATTTCAGAGCCACTGATTTCACTCTGCTCTGCCCCAATTAAATTACAGCAGCCCTCAGCTTCCATTTCTTTTAGCTTCTTTTTCTTTTCCCAGAAAGCGAAAAATCGATTGGAATGCAAGAACGTAATGGACCACGTTTCTCTCCCTCTCTCAAAATATTCACCACATAAAATATCGAATGAAGTGAACCATGTTCCGTGGGGAAAAAATCCCAATGATCACCAAAGTGTTATATTAATACCCACATCATCATTTGAACCTCAAAGTTCACATTACACAATAGTTGTCTCAGTATCGTTGTGATTTATAAAAGGACAATTCAGCAAAATAAAAATCAAAGGGATAAATAGAAGAAAGAAGAAACTATGACACGGTTTCATGCAACATTTCTTTTCAACATCCAAACGACACAAGTAACAACACTGCACAGTGCTGATCAAATGCTTTGAGTAACAAAGAAGATCGTTGAAGTCCAACGAATTCAGACAGTGCGGAAATTAACAATAAAGATTAGTGAACCATTGACCCCCAAACACGAGCACGTCAATTACAATTCCCTACAGGATCAACTGGCAAATTAGTCCCACGTTAATATCTTGCTATTGATCAAACTAACTTCAGCATAATTTAAGAAGTTACAGGTCCATCTTATCAAAGAAACTACATAGGAGACATTCGCACCTTGTGAGCTCTAAATCACAAGCTAATCCACTTGTGACAGCTGCCTCCCCAGTAATATCATCAATCCTCTATTAGTAGGAAAAATTCAGCTGCGGATACTAACAAACTTCAAGGTCCCTTAGTATTCTCCACAAGCAATTTCCCTCTTCAATAGCTAATGACTTCCTAAAGCACTCCTTAAAGAACATTTCTTTGCACACATTCTTCCAGGTGAAATCAAGCAGGTGGAGCAAGTAAAGAAAATTAAAATGCTGAAAAACAACAGAGAGATCACACCGATTCCAGAACCCTAACACCCAAAATCACAGTCACAATCACAATCTCCACAAATCCCCAAAAAGCAATACTCTAACCTGTGGGAGAAGACCAAGCGGCGTGAACGACACACCTCTCCTGGACATTGGCGCAGAATCCGACGGTGATCTTGTTGAGGTCGCCCCGGAGGACCGACCCGCTCCAGACGGACGCCCCGTCGTAGACCGTGACCTGGCCCGCGAGGACCACGTTCGGGGCCACGTAGGCGTCGACGGCGACCTTGGGGAGCCACTGCCCCAGCGGGATGATCTTCCTCTGGCCTCTGTAGTCCCATTTCACGCGATCCGGCGCCGGCGACGGCGCGACCGTCTTCGAAGCCTCGGCGGCGAAGCCGCGGCGGAGGGCGCGGTGGCCGTGGTTGGAAACCGCGGCGGCTAGGGCTCTCCTGGAAACGCGAGCTATGGTGGCCATTCCGATCGAACAGCGCGTTGGACTGTGTTCTAGAGAGAGAAGCGAGACTCGGCTTCTGACGCAGAGCGAGACGGCGAGAGAGAGAGAGAGAAGGAGAGAAGGAAATGGATTTGGGCTTTTGGATCTATCGGGCCTACCGTTGTGGGCTCTTGTTGGGCCCACAGTGGTAGATCCAAAAAGAGAAGGAAATGGTTTGGGCTTTTGGATCTACTGGGCCTACTGTTGTGGGCTCTTGTTAGGCCCACAGTGGTAGATCCAAAAGAAAATTGGAATCTCTCATTGTGTTTATATGCTACTAGGGGTGTGCAAAATAATCGAGAACCGCCCGGACCGCTCAGAACCGGACCGAAACCGGTGATTCTTAAGGGAACTGGTCTGGTTCCCAGTTCCAATTTTTGGGAATCGGTGAGTACCTGTTCGGTTCTCGATTCCAGGTATGGAACTGTTCACCCGCCCACCCCAACCGGACCGGTAATATAATAATAAATATAATATATAATATGATATATTTGTTTAATTTTTATTTTTTTTAAAAAAGAAAAATTCTAAATCCCTAAACTAAACCTAACTTGCTCGACGCTCACAGCCTCACATTGAGCAGAGAAACACCTTTTTTCGCTTCGCCTCACGTTCACTCTCACTCTTCTCGGTCAATACTCACCTCACCGTCTCTGACTCTCTATTTCCGTCTCCATCTCCGTCTTTCCGTCTCCGTCCTTAGCTAGTGGAATTGGTTCCATGGACCCACCTGGGAACCGGACTGGACCGGCGATCCGATCTCCGGGTGAATCCATGGAAACAACGGACGGTTCTCGGTTCCAATTTTTCGGAACTGGTTCTTAGTGGGCGGTTCACGGTTCTAGGATGGGAACCGCCCACCCGAACTATGCTCACCCCTATATGCTACTTCCCTCTTCATCACTGGGGTGGAATTGGACCTGAAACTGAGTAAGCTTACTATGCGTTTAGGTTGAGCTTGACTCCATGATTATTTGAGATCGATTCATTTGATTTCGAGTTTAACCTGGAGCTCATCAACCCTCCCCTGGACAAACTAGCGAGTCTAATCATCATTCGATTTTTTCTTTAATTATATTTGGTAGTTGCCAGAGTAGACAGATATCCTTGAGGTCACAAGGTACTAGAATTTATTGAACTCGAGTTCATATACAAGATGATTATGATCAAATGAAATCGAGTTCAAATGTTTCGATTTTCTAGAGTCGAGCGGGAAAGTTAAATACTCGATCGAGTGTGAGTTGAGTTCCAGATGTTGATTATTTTATTTTTACTTTCTCGTACGCACTAATGTAGACGGTGCATTTCGGTTTTTATTTTTTTACTATTTTTTATTTTATTATTCATTATTTATATTTTCTTTTTTTCTCGGGAAAATGACATAACCAATCCCTTAATTTTAGCTCAATGTGTAATGTGATCCTTTAATTTTTAATTTGTTGAATGTGATCCCTAAAGTTTAACCCAATGTGCAATGTGATCCTTGAACTTTTAATTTGTTTAATGCCGTATTTGAACTTTTGACACATGTTAATATTCGATGCAGTTCTTCCATAAATTCAAGTTCATGGACTATATTAGATATTTTCATATAATTCAGAGACTACATTGAACATATATCAAAAGTTCATGGACCATATTGAACAAATTAAAAGTTCAAGGATCACATTATATATTGAGTTAAAGTTGAGCAACTGTTTATATCATTATCCCTTTTTTCTCTCCACTCATCTCTTCTTCAACCCCTTAACTGTGCACATTCATGTTTTTGACATCAAACACCATAATACCCCAACCTCCATCTACGATCAACTTCTTCAAGCGTTAAGCCATGAACAACCTATGCTCCACCGTCACCGCCATCCATCACCGGAACACCACCGTCGGCCACCACATTCGGCCACCACCATCAATCACCAGCAACTCAACATTCACTTTCACCTAGAAATGCACAGATATTGCGTAGAAGTACAAACCAATTCAAATGCCTCTATAGATTAACATTCAGGCCAACGACTTCAAGCCGTTTCCTCACCGACGATCACCATCCGCGATCACTGGAGATCACACAAACACAGCGCGAAGGAAACATCGATTCGGCAATATGCTCGACAATTGTGAAATACATCAAAGATCATTTCCCTTAATAGCTAACGAAACGACTACTCACATCTAACACATGAATACATGTTCAGATTGAACAATGACCGGAACTAATCTATAACTAGGTCTTAAGGGGAATATTCACAAACAATTTACATGCGTTCAGTGAAGGAGTGTGTTGCGACCTTCCCATATGTGAGCCACCAAAGGAAAGGTAATGGATTACTAAGCGTACACTTAATGCGAACTCTTCCAAACTCTTTACACTTAACGCGAACTCTCTCAAACTCTTATCAATTGCGACTTTGGGGTTTTAATTTAATCAATTGAACACGCAATTTAATTCATTTTGAACTCGCCACTTATCCATTATGGGTCGATTTGAAACCAAAGTAAAATGTAGGAGAACATTTTATTTCAACAAACTAGAGAGATCATAGATATGGGGACTTGATTACATTAAATAAATATAACGCTCTTTTAACACCTCTTCTTTTTATTTTAAAAAAATATTTTGCAAGCAGGCTTCACCAATTTTAATCCTGAACCACTAACTTATGAAAGATGACTATGCGGGTGTGACATCCGGGTCATTACTCAGTAGACCCATGTGCCCTTGAATACTTAGCTATTCAATCGACGAATAATGAAGTTGTATCGTGCGTGGACAAACTTGACAACCTAGGTCGATAAATGCTTTAGTCGATCGGGTTTGAATTTCCGCACTAAGTTATGAGTATATTGAACGAGCTCGATGTTCAATCACATACGAAACTAGAACGCGGAAAGTGCCAACGTTTTGTGACCCGATACCAATTCTCTTCCATGGCCATTCCCTCTCTTTCTAGCTCATCCCCACCGCGCCACCTAGCGACACCCGCGCCACCTAGCGACACCCGCGCCACCTGGCTGCGCCATACACCTCCATTTGGCGCACCAAATTGCTTCAAAATTATAATCCATGCGGCTGAGGGGAATAAGAAGATAAAACCAGCAATTACATTCTTCTTCCTCCTTTTTCCGGTTTCCGTGGCCTCCCTCCGTTATCACTCTCTTCCTTTTTCCTGCGATACCGCGATCTCACGCCGTTCCATCCCGCCGGCGACGCCTTGTGCAGCCAGCCCTTGCGCCGTTCCGTGTCTCGCATCGTTTCGTTCGTGCCGCTGCTCAATATAATACTCGGTTAGTCTCGGATCGCAGGAGGCCAGCCAATAACCGGACCCTTTTTCAACTCCGCCAAGCGTCGCAAACCACTTTTGGGAGTTTCAGCGAGGTTGATTTTCTCGGATTTCCGCGGTTTCCGTTGTCTTTCGTGCACGTTCGTGTTAATCGGCGATTGCGGAAGACATGTATAGCTAGAATTTTTGAGTTCATGGTTTATTTAGTTCTTGAATGTGTTGTTGAGGTGCTGATTGCTGAAATGCGTGCGTGCTCGAGGTTGAATGACACCAAAGCAGGGCCGAATCCGTAGACGTTGTAGAAGTCAGATTCGGTCACGGATTGACCCAAGGTTTTTGCCAATTTTATACGATATTGTGTGGTACGAATTTCTTGGGGCTTTCTTCACGAAAGTTACACCTTATTCTTTGTTCTATAACATAATTTAATTCTGGATTTTTCGGACTTCATATGACTATATTATATTTGATAAACACACGATTTTAAGTCAGTTTTTTTAAAAGACCGGTACTGACCTTTACACGATTATGATTTTCTAAAGAATTTTCGGCAAGGAATTTGGACAAGTGTTCTTCATCAAAGTTGTAGATTACCCCTTAAAATATAACATATAAACTTTCCATGATTTTTAGAGCTCATTGAACCTGTGATACGTCTACCTTTCTTTCCGTTTGAGTTCTGGAATTAAACTACTGTTTTGACCTGATTTGTCCGAATTGTTGGGAATTGTATAAGCTAAACTGGGTTTCGAATTCTCACAAGAAATGTTCCTCTGGGTCTCGCCTACGTTGTGTTAAAATTTCATAATTTTTTAAGCTGATTTTCTTAGGTAATGATAGCGACTTCCGAAGGCGTACAAACTGCCTTTATGGGGCAATTTTGGGATTCTGGATGCAATTCCTTTTTGTAACTTGTCTTTTAAGATTTGTATTGCTGACTAACCAGTTTTATACCATTTCTATTATTTATAAGTGGATGAAGGTTGGTCAGTTCTGAACTTGAGTTGTTTTCTTTGCATTAGCAAAGTGAATGATATTTTAGACTGAAATATTGAATTGCTGCATCATGAGTATGACAGTTCCGTCGGTCCCCATGACGACGATGCCCCAGGAGTGGGGATGCCTAGAGGGGTAACTGGGTTTCTCCAAATGCCTGGGGGGTAACTGGGGTCCCCAGATGACCTCGCGATCCGGGAAGGGTGCGAGATGCCTGAGGGGGTAACTGGGTTCCCTCGGATGCCTGGGGGTGTAACACGGTTCCCTAGATGTCCTCGCGATGCTGTGTGGGTGCGAGGTGCCTGGGGTGTAATGGGGTTCCCCGAAAGATGGTGCCAGCTAAGTATTGAATCAAACGTGATTATTACTATTGCTACGATTCACTTGCGTTACTGGTTTACAGACCCCAAGATGTCTTTGTTTTTATACCAACTTACTACTTTGGTTTTGAAGAAGGTATTTAGACAAGTTGATTTTAAGAGTGATTTCATATATTGTATGTTTGGAATTTCCTCACATGTGCAGTGATAGGTTTACATAGTATAGATTGGTAGACATTTTTACTTGCTGAGTTTATGCTCACTGGATGTCGACTATCCTCTTTCAGATTAGTAGTTATGCCGATCGTGCTTGCCTCCTCCTCGATTAGCTACGGTGCCCCTGTCGATTTCTCTAGTCATATTACTGAGCTTGTGGATCCTGATTTCCCGGAGGATGGTAGAGTAGCATTTTTGGAGACCAGGCAATGATTTTTGGACATACTATGGATGATGGATAGGTGACGTTGTACATAGGTGCTTACAGGTTGGGAGGATATGACTGACGGAGCTTTTGGTGTAATCAGGGGCGGCAGGACCCTTTTTCTTTTCCCCAATGTACCCCGACCTATGTCGCCTAAGTACATAAATAAGAAATGAAAATGAGATCGCCATGTTTATATTTTTCGTGTGTGTCCCTCTAAATTTTACATGTCTCGGGTTGTTCTTTGATTTTACACTCTTTCGCATGCATAAAAAGTGAAAGAATACATTACCAGTCAACAATCAAAGCTTATAAATAAATTGTTCGAAATGATTTGAAGAACCTTGATGCACTAAGTAAACCAAAAGCTCCATTATGTCCAAACACATCAAGAATTTTGCAAAATGTTATTTTGTAAAGGGTAAGAAAGTGGAAAAATTGAAAAAAAAAAAAATCAAAGTAATTCAAATCAAAGTTGGTAACCCCATAATAGATGGTAATTTAATGGAGTGAAGATTGGTGAGATACACTAATTTAGGCTGGTAATCTCTAAAAAGGTTAGTATGTAAGAAGTTGATAATCTAGGTAAATAAAAATCAATTAGAAAAATTAGAAATTAAAAGAATAATTAACATTGGAAAGTAACTATGCAAGTTGGTAATCCAAAATTAGTTGGTAATTTAATTTAACAAAAATCGGTTAAATCACTCTAAATTAGGCAGGTGATTTCATTGTAAGTTATACAGATAAAAGCTGGCAAGTTGGTATAAAAATAGTTAAGGTGCAAATCAACAAACAAATTGGTATTTCCGAAAAATGAAGTAAAGTTATGAACAAGTTACTTCCAAAGATTTATTGGTCATTTTCCTATCAACAATTGTTTGACACTTACCAAACACTTATTGAACCGGCACGGGAAAAATGTTTTTGGTACCAAGCGATAGAATGAATTTATTTGCCTCTGCGAAATCACTGAGAGAAAGTTCAGATATTACGATCATCCATTACGTAGGAGACGAAGTCCATATCTCACAATTAATCCCCAAGCTATTCATGATATCCTTAATTTTATGGACATATACATGTATTCGAAGAAGATCCTTCTCCTTCCCTTTTTTCTGGAAGAAAAGAAGTGACTTTGCACGCTCCATCTTTCGTCCCATCGCCTATCGGCTCCTAACAAATTGCTGGCTTTTCAGCTGTGTACCCAGCAAATCTTACAAGTGAACCAGATATAGAGACGAGGCTCGGCATCTTCCTCGTTCGATAGAGAATTGGTAGTTGAACCCATGCTGGTCAGCTGGACAAATTCAGGCCGTCGACGAAATCAGGATAAATAACAATACCTATTATTGGTAGAAGTTTGCTTATATGTCTGGACTTCTGTTGAGTCCATATTACATTTCTCACGCACATACACAGCATATGAACGAAAAGCAGTCCTAGCTTTGATACACGTTCTCAACCCTATGTAATCAGGAAAAACCACCGCCTGTTTTAACACCCACCCACCACACCAGTACTTCAGTGTCCGCCATTTACTATGTAGGAAGATCCATCCTGAGGAACCCTGCAGTTTGACAAATATTCAATGGATCACTCTTTCACGGTTCAAAAGCAGGCATAGGCCTAGACAACTATCACTCTGAAGCGAGCATCTTTAGCTTCTGTTAGTTTTAGACCTAGAATTTTGCAGATCACTCGAGAACTGCTTATATGAACCATTCAATGAGTTGTCGAGGGACATTGGATTATCAAAACACCCACGTTTGGGAAAACCAATATCCGCGATGTATGAAAATGACGTACCTTTGGTCTGAGTAACAAAAGTGATCTACAAAAACTCCAGGCCTAACACCGACGTCGCGCATCTCGTGGTACTTGACCTTGGAATGATGGAAAATATATATGCCAATCATGATTAGTGCAGTGTTGTGAATTGCCAAGCTATGCATCTTCCAAGTTATGTATATACGAGTACAAGTTTGGAAAGATCTTACTGTTTTCAGGAGACGAGCGTTTTCCTCTTGCAGGACTTTGAGCTGAAGAAATTAAGCGACCGTCATGTTGCGTATGCACAAAGTTCTAATTGCATGTCCTCGACTTTTATATAGCAGCATCCACTACTTTTAGCAACAATATAGATTGTGGAATGTGTGTTCTTATGAACTTTTGATAAAACGTTTAATGATATGATAGGCCTCTAAAAACGTATGCCCTATGCCGCAATCAATTCATCTTAAATCCTTTTCAAAGACCAAAAGGTTGAGCATCAACGTGCTGTACAATGCAGATTCGTCTCGATATGTACGTTCTTGAATTGCTAATAATTAGTAAATGTTTGCCTTTCGGAGTATGAGGCTTTCTATTTCACATTATTCATATAACAAAATGCTAAAACGCGGCACAAGATACAGGCTTTGGATAATGTTTCAGGAGGTGGTTTCATGTGCATTTAGATCTACATAAGCTAGGAGGCCTATAATACACGAGACATCTACTATCTACTGAGTATGAGTCAAATAGAAGACTTTAGTAAAGCGTATTCAAGATGTTGCATCGACCCTCAAAGTGAAATCTTACTCAATATGGAGTCCGGATAATCAAGCAAAAAAACACCATGAGAGTTTGGTTTAATAGAGGAAACTTACGTTCCTTTTCAGCAGGTTTACATGCTCCGAAATGATGCGTCTCTGTCCATTGCAACCATATGCTCAGTCAGAATAGGACAGTAATGAAGTTAGTGAACATATACTGTGCTAATACAGGGAAAAGTGCTGAATAAGTCCTAAACCTTTTGGGGTGGTGCCAATTTAGTCCTAAATCTTTTTTTTTTTGCCAATTGAGTCCTAAACCTTTTGATATAGTGCCAATTCAGTCCTTTTTTGCAGGATTTTGCTGACGTGGACGTCGGCCGGCGGGCAACCGGTTACCGGCGCTGTGTGGACAAAATTTAATAATATTTTAATATTTTTTTGAATTTTTTTTCTTTTTTTTTTCTTCTCCCTCTTCCTTCAGCCGGTCGCCGGAGCGGCGACCGGCCGGAGGCCAGAGGCCGGCGAGGTCGACCTCGCCGGCCACTGGCGAGGTCGAGCCTCGCCGGCGGCTGGGTGAGGCCCGACCTCGCCCAGCCATGGCGAGGCTCACCTTCGCCGTCGCCGGCGAGGTCGAGCCTCGCGGGCCGGGGCGAGGCTCGCCCGACCCTCGCCCGGAGGTCACGAGGTCCGGCAAGGGCCGGGGCGAGCCTCGCCGGCGGCCGGGCGAGGCCCGACCTCGCCGGATCTCGGGCGAGGCCGACCCTCGCCCGGCCATGGCGAGGGCGGGCGAGCCTCGCCCGGCCAATGCGAGGCTCGCCCTCGCCGGCGACGGCAAAGCGAGCCTCGCCATGGCTGGGCGAGGCTCGACCTCGCCAGGATCTGGCGAGGTCCAGCCTCGCCCAGCCGCCAGCGAGGTCGAGCCTCGCCCAACCATGGCGAGGCTTGCCCGAGGCCGGCGAGGTCGACCTCGCCGGCCTCTGGCCTCCGGCCGGTCGCCGCTCCGGCGACCGGCTGAAGGAAGAAGGAGAAGAAAAAAAATTCAAAAAAAAATATTAAAATATTATTAAATTTTGTCCACATCAGTGCCGGTAACCGGTCGCCGGCCGGCCGACGTCCACGTCAGCAAAATCCGGCCAAAAGGACTGAATTGGCACTATATCAAAAGGTTTAGGACTCAATTGGTACAAAAAATAGGTTTAGGACTAAAATGGCACCACCCCAAAAGGTTTAGGACTTATTCAGCACTTTTCCCTACTAATGCATGTCTACGTCATCTGTTCCAGAGTCTTACAAAGATCCATATTGTTAAGGCCAACAAATACTTGCACTGGGATGGTCTTTTCGACTAAACCTTGAGAGGGAAAGAAAAATGACACCTCGAGAAAATATTTGTATAGATGAATAAATTGTGATCAACGATCATCGTGCTATTATATATGCATTCCTGAGATTTTAGTCCGCATCAAAGTCAAGAATTAATTAATCAGTAACATTCACCTGCTTGGAGCGGATGCGTTCGACACCGGTCTTCAGCTGTCGCTCGAGTTGTCTCAGCTCTTTCATGCTCAACATTGAAAGATCTTCTCCGGACAAGTGCCTGCATACATGAGCAGTGCGCGTCTTATTTAGTCAATCGCGATCCTTTAGAAACTTTTAAGTTTATTCGTTTCCGTCAAAAAAGAACTCGCTTCCACCTACTTGAGCTGTGTTTCCATGGTTTCAATCCCTCTTGTCAACTCGTGAATTTCAGCCCTCCAAAACTGTATATATTGCATCAACAGACTTATAAGTATGTCCCCAGAATACAATAACAAAATATCGCTACATAGAATTTTTAGGGTTCATCGTGCTGTGCCTAGTGAATCGATCTCCTTCTTCCTTTGGCTGAATATTAAGTGATAGTTTTTTTTTTTTTTTTATGACCCAGGGAACCCCGCACGGCCGACAGCAGGGAGGTAAACCACAGGGCGACACGTGCTAGCCACCACACACGTGCACCGGTTAAGTCACCTGCGGCACCCGGGATTCGAACACTCAACCTTTTGCGAGAGGAAGAGTGCGCTCCATTGGCTGAATATCAAGTGATAGTTAATCTCAACTAGCTCGATTAATTAAGAACTGTAGGCTAAGATGTATTTTAATCGCTTAGCAGCAAAGCGTCAACCATACACGTACTCTGCAAATTATAATAAGATGATGACGAAACATCTATTTCAACTCTTTTTCTTTGAGAGATCATCATATATTTTATAGGGTGAAGTAGAACAAATAACAAGATTTCTACTTTCCTGAATTTGATTATAGAGAGTCTAAAGGAGAGAGAGATTAAAGATTTAGATTTCATGGCAACAAATCAAGTTACATATTAAGACAGATTAAAGGATTAGATCTCAATCACCTCGATGCTTCGGCATCCCCGGCTGTGTGAAGATTGCGGGAGCCCTAATTCGTCTCGGTACTTGACAATAGTCTTATCCGTGCTGCGAATTCACCCCGTTAAAGTAGCAAAACGATTCTTATATAAATGCGTACACGCGCATATGGAAGGAACAAAAGCATGTGCGAATGGAAAATAGAAAAGGTAGCTGATAACTAAATAGATCGATTATATTAGTGTGATTACTCATGGCTGGCGAATTGACAACATTTCCCAGAAGAAGAGAAGATGACAAGGGCGATTTCGGCATCGCAGAGGACGGAGAGCTCGAAAGCCTTCTTGAGAAGCCCGTTTCGCCGTTTGGAGAATGTCACTTGCCTGCTTGATGCCTTCTCTATTCTCTTCAGTTCTACTTTCCCTCTCCCCATTTTTCTGGGCTCAGATCAGATCTTGCAACCCAACAAACCAAACCAACAACAAAAAAGACAGTTTTAAATTGATCAGACGAGACTCGTATCTTTCTTTCTTCGGATATGGTATTGTGGGATGGAAACTTTACTGGGATAAAAAAAAAGAGTGTGCCGATGGAAGCTGGTGAATATGGTAAGCATGACCTGCCATTTCTACTTGCACATATAAATAAAGTCGGACACCGCTGGAATATGCATGAAAGGCTAGGAGATTGGGGCACTTGATGGCACAGATGACGCAGGTGGCACGACGTCAACAATATGTCTCCTTCGTCTTTTTCATCCAACCCCACCGTACTCTGAGGAAAGGAACCAATATTCTCTTCGGACTTTTGGTTCGTATACCAATTTCATCTTCCCTACCCTTAAAGCCTCCGATCTGCTCTTTTGAATGTTGTTATTAGACTTCGAGTAAGGATGATGCTCAATTGTTCTCGTAAGATACTTTCGTAACGCAATGGTATCATCTCTCAAGGTGGCCATATAAAAAAAGGTAACGAATTCCTTAAATAATTGTGATTATATAATTATGGGATAGTAACTCAAATGATATCTCAACTTTGGCTTAAAATACAATATAACCCCTGAACTGTGATTCGATGTGTAATGTGGTCCCTGAACTTTTAACCTATTTGATGTGGTCCATAGATTTTTGGCATATATTCAATTTAGTCCATGAACTGTATGAAAATATTTATTGTTGTCCCTGAACTTGAATTAATGAAAAGATGGCAATAAACATTTTCATATAATTCAAGAACTAAGTTAAACATGGACCACATTGAACAAATTGAAAGTTCACGAACCACATTGCATATTGAGCTAAAGTTCTAAGATCATATTGAACAAATTAAAAGTTCAAAAATCACATTGCTTATTGGGCTAAAGTTCAAAGACCATTTATGTCATTATCCCTATAATTAACAAGACATGACAAACAAACTAGGGTTGATACCACGAAAAACCCCAAACTGTTACACCTGTGATAAATTTACCATCAGTTTTTTTCCGTTAAATTTTATTATCAAATAACACGCGGTGGTTGATTGATGTACCAGTTCGAAATGATTGCTTCCTTTGCTTTTGGTTATCCCACATTATTTGAGACGCCCTCCCTTTTTCGCTTCATTTATGAGTTTACATTATTAGTCTGGTAAAATGAAGAGAAAAGTGTTGGGATCATGCTTATGAATTTGGGGCGAACCAAGTGTAAAGTTGGATTGTGCCCTCTCCATGTGCGAAATGTATGCGAAGCCCAGAACATTTCCTTTTACCGAATTTCTTATTTTTGCCTGATAATTCTAACTTTCGCTCAACCTATTTTCTCTCTTCCTCTCACGGGCTTTGCAAATCTGTTGTACCCGCTATACCCGAATAAATCGGGAGGTCCGTTGAATCGTGGGCATATCCGCGTTTCTACCTTGTGCACTCTTTGAAAGGCGGAAATTATACTCGAGAATAATACTTTACAAGCCATCGTAAATAAAAAAAAGGAGGAATTTTTAATTGTCCAAGCACTTGAACTTCAATTTCGGCCCTAAAAGAAATTCATGAATGAGCTTGCTGTAGCGAAGGAACAGGAACAACAATCACTACCGAAACCCTAACCTAGTCCAAGTCTCATAGGGAATTCTTGAAGCTGTGCAGGTTCAAGGAAGGTATTGCAGGTTTCCTAGCAAAAGACCGAGAAATTGAGAACCCGGAAATTGAAAGAAAGGTAAGTGTTGGCAGCTGTATGATGTCTAGGGTGACGAAAATTGAGAAAACGACAAGCCAGAATGTTCCTGTCCGTAGATCTGCTTGAGAAACTATAATCTGCATATATATTGTGTCACGCATTTTTTTTCCTCGCACTCTTTGTGGTATTTAAGTCGTGGTAAACAGACGGCACACTATGTATTAACCACTTTGCGTTAATGTATACCAATTTGTGATTTTTTGTGATATTAATTCAATTTAACAGAAACTAACGGAAGATAAATTCGTCACAAATGTACAAATTTAAAATTGTTAATGCTCAAAATATTAGTTTGAGGTACATTTATTATATATATACTAATTTAGAACTTTTGATAATCAAAAAATTAATTTAAAATAAAATTATTATAAATATATTAATTTAAAATTTTTCGTGATATTAACACGAATAAATCACGCTTCAAGTAATAACCCAAAGACGGTATATTGTTGAATTAAACATGTTTGATGCGACATTTTTAATTGCTGAAATGTTGCATGTTCTCCCAAGTCGACACGTCAAACTTAGCTCCACGAGGAGATTCTAGCAAAGCCCATGAAAGGCCGACGCGTGCGCGTTGAGGTGACCCTTAGTCTTACATCGGGGAGTAAAAATCAAAAGGTTCCTGAAGTCCATCATGTTCAAGTTGAATACAAAGGTGAAACGAATCTGCCCACTAAGTGTCCTTCTGCTTTTCGGAGGGTGAGAAGATCGAGCTCACATGGTGACCCACCACCTCGGATATCGAACTTCTTTCGCGACACGATACGACACGACATAATTATGATGCAAGCTAATTTTTTGGGGTTAATTAAAAAAAAAGCATCAATTTTAGGTCGAGGGACAATTTTGACCTGAACTTTTTTTTGTTCCATACAAAAGTACCAACTTTAGGTCGAAGGACAATTCTGGCCCGAACTTTTTTTTGTCCATAAAAAAGCACCAACTTTAGGTCGATGGACAATTCTGGCCCGAACTTTTTTTTATTTCGTAAAAAAGCACAAACTTTCATTTAAATCCCAAATTTGGCCCCCCATTGACTTTCTATATGAAGTTACCCTTGTTTGAGAAAAAAAGTTATGGTGGTGAGCCTGGCGAATCTCTTCCATGGCGTCTGTTGACGGGCGGTGGTCTACAGCTTCAAATTACGACAAAACGACGAAGTTTGACCAGAAAGATTCAATCTGGAGATATTTTTGACTTGCCAGTGAAGTGAAGGAGACGAACAGTTTCACCGTTATTCTTCAAGCTGTGGTTCAGAGAATAAGACAATGAATAATGCTTTAAATCCAGTCAGCAAGTCACGTGGATTTATTGCTAAGGTGGAATAGTCAAGTTGGAAAATCAATAGTTTTAAGTCAATATGGGCCAGATTTAGAATTTAAGTGAAAGTTGGTGCTTTTTTACGAGACAAAAAAAAGTTCGGGCCAGAATTGTCTCTCGACCTAAAGTTAGTGCTTTTTTATGGAACAAAAAAAAGTTCGGGCCAAAATTGTCCCTCGACCTAAAATTGATGCTTTTTTTTTTTATTAACCCCAATTTTTTGCCAGAGATATGAGGACTTGGCGGTGTTCCTTACACTGCTAGAGATGATCAATAGATCGATGATGTTCTCACTTCGAGTTCAAACGTCTGGCTTGTTGCTGCTGAGGAAATCCATGTTATTACCTTGGGGGTTGACAGGTATGTCAAAGATGAAGAAGGATCAGTATGCCTTGGATGTATACGGGACATGTAACAGATCCTCAAATAGCCTGAATGTCTGTACCATTGTGCAATGGAACCTGCACTGCAGTGAGAGAGTTTACAAACCAGCATTCTAGGGCAAAAATTTGATTTCTTATAATGGAATGCTAAGATACATTCTTCAAAAACCATCTTTTGATCACACAACTACTTTTTTAGATTGCAAACACGATAACAAATTCTCGATAAACACGTTACAATCTTGTTGATAGATGTCGGTCCGCGCTTTGCCACGTGTCGGACACTCATGGCCACTCGAGCACTCACAATCCTTTTCCGGACAATGGTAAGAGAGCTGGTTTAATTTTATCTCTCGAAACCGAACACGATCAATCCCTTTGTCGAGGCAACATTTGCTCAGATTTGATTAGCCATTCTCTTTTGTCCCTCATGTTATTCTGAGTTGACATCATCAAATGATGCTTTCTATGTACATTCTCCTCCTCCTGACTTTTCCTTTCTTTGTGGAGTTGATATGCAGGCAAGGAGCAATCGACACGTTGCATCTCTTTGCCGAGGAAAATTCAGGGGCTCGTGGAAAAGCAGCGCCACTTTCTGCGGAATCAAAGCATGGGCATCGACATGTCGTCCTAGTGGGGCAAAGCTCTTTTGACGAGTGTTCTTATTAGATTATGACTTGAGTTTGAATCGTTTACGGAACGTAACTCACTTAAGTAAGTTTTCATATTTGGCCTTGAAGATATATATTTTCTGTTGGAGAAAATATTCAAAATTGCCCACAAAAGAAATTCTTCTTGTGAGACGTACAGTGGACATCTTTGTCCTGTAGTTGGGCGGTCAACAAAAGGAGTTAATCGTTTGACTCCTTGCAGCTGCAGAGAAAACCTTGTGGGCCTAGGGGCAATAGAAGGAAAGAAAATAAAGGGGCTAGCTCTTGCTTCCTGTGAAACCCGTCCAAAAGAAAAGTTCTTTTCTGTGGATTTAAGCCGCCGCACAATCCGAGAGCCGCACGAAGCTGCATAGTGCCGAAGACGAGCCGCGCGAAGAAGAAACGAGAAGAACATCAGAGGCACGTTCCTGTTACGAGCCACACGTATGCATTTTGCTTTGGATTTCAACACGCGGTGATTTGTACTGTGAGTTTATTTCGTCTAATTGAGTTGTTAATTCGTAGACACTTTGGATTTTGGCTTAAATTTAGGTGTGAGAAACACTCGAGGGTTTTAACGATTTGTAACTCTGATTCTCCGATTATAGTGGATTATTTGTTGCTGGCCCTCCCCGTGGATGTAAGTACCGACATTCTGACCGAACCACATAAATCTCTAGTGTACCTTATCGTTCCTTGTTTATTTCTCTGGTATTTTTGCATTGACTTAATTTGTAAGATCATGTCGCTTCCGCGTTACATTCCAATAATTGGTATCGGAGCTTGAGGGTTGGATTTTCTAGATTGTGATTTGGGGCTTTTGCTTGTTTGATTATTATCTGGAAATTCTGCTATTGCAATTATATCTGGAGCGAAAGTTGAGATTGAGAAGTTTAACGAGAGAAACAACTTTGGGTTATGGAGCGTCAAGATGCATGCTCTATTGACAGTCCAAGGTTTAGCTAAGGCGTTAGATGGCGAAGATGGGTTGCCCATTATAATGAAAGCGGCTGATAGGGTAGAGCTAATGGAGAAAGCACAGAGTATAATACTGTTGAATTTATCGGATGACGTGTTAGTCGAGGTGGCTGGGGAGAAG